ACAAGCAGATGCTCCTCCAGAAGCAGCCTCAGGAGTGCAGCAGGGGTGGCCCAGGATGCCCCAGGGGATGAGGGTTCTCACTGAGCCTCTGCTATGTGGCATGAACCAGGAGCCTGGGAAGAACCACTGCAGAAGGCTGGCATGACATTGGGGCAGCGAAGGCCTCTTCTTTGCACACCAACCTAGTTACACATCCTGTCACACTACCCCCAAGAAACCCCCAAGTAAGGTTCTTCAGGACCCATAGGTGGACCACAGGGAAGATCAGTAGACTAGATCCATGATGTCCGTGATGCAGTCTCCAAGGACGATCTTCTCCCACTGTGACAGCTGGGCCACCAAGCCCCGATTTGGACACATGTTGTTTTTGCACTTCTTGAGGTAGGCCCAGGACCTCTGTGAGCACAAGGAGAGAAAGCTGTGTTCAGGATTGGAGTTGGGCCCTTTCCTCCTAGATCAGAGCCAGCTCAGGAGGGACAGGAGGCCCTTGCTCAGGGGCCAGCAACATGGCTCAAGGGCTGGCCACAGCAGCAGCCTGCAGTTAATAAATTAGTTCAAGGAGCTGTAGGAGCTGGCAAGCCCCTCTGCAGCTCTGCTCCTGAATATGCAAACAGGAATCATTCTTATTTCCGATGGCTCCTGTGAAGATTGAGACAACTTATATGAAACCTCCCATAGACAGGGAAGCAGCATACCCATGCCTGGCACATGGTGAACCTCCACAAAGGTTTGCATTGTGCATGAATAAATTAATGGAAAGGGAAAGAGAACTGTGGGCAAATTCTCTGAAGAAGGAATAGTGAAGCTACCTTCTTTCAGGTGCCCAAGCTAAAATGCAGGAAGGATCATTACATGAAGAAAGGTGACAAGTGAGCCTCCATCTATATTGAAGACAGAAGAAAAGGAAAGAGAAAATTGGTGCCTCAGCAAACTAGGAATAGAAAGGCACTACCTCAACATAATAAAGGCCCTATTTGAAAAGTCCAAAGCAAACACATACTCAATGGCGAAAGACTGAAAGCTTGTCCTTTAAGATCTGGAACAAGACAAGGATGCCAGCTTTCACCACTTCTACTCAACACTGTACCAGGAGTCCTAGCCAGAGCAATTAAGCAAAATAAAATAAAAAATAAAAGGCACCCAACTTAGAAAGGAAGAAGTAAAATTATTTGTTTGCAGATGACATGATCTTATATGTAGACCACTTTAAAGATATACTGAAATAACTACTAGAATAATTTAGCTAATTTCCATAAATAAATGGAAAGGCATTCCCATGTAACAGATTAGAATACTGTAAAAATGTCAATACTACACAAACTGACCTATAGATTTAATGCAATCTACCAAATCTCGGCAACATTTTTTGCAGAAACAGAAAAACCCATCCTAAAATTCATATGGATTATCAAGGGACCCTCAAATAGCCAAGATAATCTTGAAAAAAGAACAAAGTTGGAATTCTCACACTTCCTGATTTTTAAGCCTTTGACAAAACTACAGTAATCAAAACTGTGGTTCTGGCCTACAGACAAGACATTTAGACCAATGGCATAGAATAGACAGCCTAAAAATAAACCCTCACATATATGGTCAAACAGTTTCAAAGAGGGTGCCAAAACCATTCAATGGAGAAAGTACAGTCTCTCCAACAAATGGTACTGGGAAAACACAAAACCATTCAATGGAGAAAGTACAGTCTCTCCAACAAATGGTATTGGGAAAACACAAAACCATTCAATGCAGAAAGTACAGTCTCCCCAACAAATGGTATTGGGAAAACACAAAACCATTCAATGCAGAAAGTACAGTCTCTCCAACAAATGGTATTGGGAAAACACAAAACCATTCAATGCAGAAAGTACAGTCTCTCCAACAAATGGTATTGGGAAAACTCAATATTCACATGTAAAAGAATGAAGTTGGACCCTTACTTTACCCCATGATCAAAAATTAACTCAAAATGATTAAAGACCTAAGTGTAAGAGCTAAAACTATAAAATTCTTTTTTAAAAAAGCACAGGAGAAAAGCTTTATGACAATGGATTTGGCAATGATTTCTTGGACATATGACACCAAAAGCACAGGAGATAAATAAAAAATAGATAAAGTGGACTACATCAAAACGAAAAATTTCTATGCATCAAAAGACACAATAGAGTGAAAAGGCAAGCCACAGGATGGGAGAAAACATTTGCAAGTCATATTTCTAAGTTATATCTAGATATATATTCAGCAGTTAATATGAACACTATAAGCAATTCCTAAAGCTTAACAAAAAGCACAAATATTTCTCCAAAGAAGATATACAATGGCCAATAAGCACATGAAAAGATTTGCTCAATATCACTAATCACTAGGGAAATGCAAATCAAAACTACAGTAAGATGCCCCTTCACACCCATTAGGATGGTTACTATCAAAGAAACTGGAAGCATAGTTGAAGATGTGGTGAGATTGGAACCCTCATGCATTGTTAGTAGGAATGTAAAATGGCAAAGCACTGTGAAAAACAGTACGGAGATTCCTCAAAAAATTAAAAATAGAAATACCATATGACCCATCAATTCCACTTCTGTCTACACCCAAAGAACTGAAAGCAGGATCTTGAAGAGATATTTGTACGCCATATTCATAGCAGCATTACATACAATAGCTAAAACATGGAAGCAACCCAAGTGTCCACCAACAAATGAATGGATAAGCAAAATGTGGTATACAGGTGATCCTTGAACAACACAGAACTGAACTGCATGGGCCCACTTATACACAGATGTTTTTCAATAAATACATTGGAAAAATTTTTAGAGATTTGTGACAATTTGAAAAAAATCTTCTAACATTTTATTGTAAGAATACAGTATGTAATACAACATACAAAATATGTGTTAATCAATTGTTTATGTTATTAGTAAGGTTTATTTGACACTTAATTATTAGTAGTTAAGTTTTTGGAGAGTCAAAAGTTACACCTGGATTTCTGACTGTGCAGGGGGTTGGTGTCCCTAACTCCCATGTTATTCAAGGGTCAACTGTATAATACAATGGAATTCTATTCAGCCTTTAAAAAGAAGGAAATTCTGACACATGGATAACCTTGAGGAAATTATTCAAAGTGAAATAAGCCAGTCAACAAAATACTATGTGGTTCCCTTATACAAGGTATCCAGAGTAGTCAAAATCATAGACACAGAAAGTAGAATAGTGGCTGCAGAGCTGGAAGGACAGAGTTATTGTTTAATAGGTATAGAGTTTCGGTTTTTCAAGATGACAAGAGTTATGAGGATAGATGGTAGTAATTAATACCACTGAACTATACTTTTAAGAATGGTTAAGATAGGAAAATTTGTGTGTGTGTATTTTAACACTTAAAAAAGGAAAAACTATAAAGAGCTACCACCTCATACCCATTAGTATGGCTACTATGAAACAACCAGAAAATAACAAGTGTTGGTGAGGATGTGGAGAATTTGGAAACTTATAAACTGTTGATGGAAATGTAAAATGATGAAGCTGCTATGGAAAACAAGTAAAAATAGAATTTTCCTCAAATAAGTAAAAATAGAATTACCATATGATCTAGCAATTCCACTTTGGGTATACATCCAAAAGAACTGAAAGCAGGTGGCCAGCAGGGCTTGTGTTCACAGGTTCAACAGGACAGTTGCAAATAAACAGTTCTTAGTTGGCTAGCACTCCAAGGCTCAGCATGGAAGGAAGCAGACAGAAATGTCCCTCTCTTCCAGTCCTCCTCAGAAGGAGGTAGACATAAATATATACATACATCAAAAGTTGATGCCTGAGGTTGGGCTTCCAATCAGCCTGAATCTAGGTACAGACTTGAGACATCCCTTTGGGATACTGACAGGTCTTGGTACACTCTCAACTACTGGGAGCCACTAAGAGCAAAGTAGGCTACTTAGACAATCAAAAATGTTTGAGAAACAACCAAGAACTAGGTAAGGGTGAACAATAAGTTTAATTTCCTACACCAGGTCACTCCTTCAAGACTAGAAGAGGTGGCTGTTTTATCTAATACATAGAAACCAACAGAGAGAATCAAGGAGAATGAAGAAACAGAGGAATATATTCCAAATGAGAACACAAGACACAATTTCAGAACAACATCTTGATGAAATGGATATTAGTAAACTGATAAAGAGTTCAAAATGATGGCTGTACACAAATAAGTGGAAATATACTCCATGATCATGGGTAGGAAGAATTAACATAGTTAAAATGGCCATACTACCAAAGAAATCCACAGATTCAATGCAATCCCTACCAAAATACCAATGCCATTTTTCACAGAACTAGAGCAAACAATCCTAAAATGTATATGGAACCATAAAGACCCTAAGTAGCCAAAGCCATCCAGAGAAAGAACAAAGTTAGAGGTATCATGCTACCTGGTTTAAAACTATATTACAAAGCTACAGTAAGCAAAACAGTATGATACTGGCACAAAAACAGCACATAGATCAATGGAACAGAATAGTGAACCCAGAAATAAACCCACACTTATATGGTGAATTAATATATGAAAAAGGAGACAAGAATATACAATGGGGAAAAGACAATCTCTTCAATAAATGGTGTTGGGAAAATTGGACAGCTACATGCAAAAGAATGAAACTGGATCACTGTCTTACACCATACACAAAATAAACTTGAAATGGATTAAACACCTAAATATAAGAACTGAAACCATAAAACTCTAGAAAAAAAATATGCAGTAAAATCTTGAACATTAGCATTAGTAATCCTTTTCTGGATATGTCTCCCTAGGCAAGAGAAACAAAAGCAAAAAATAAGTAAGTGGGACTACACCAAACCAAAAATCAACCGCGTGTTGCACCCAGCAGTGCCCGGCCTGTCATGCTGGGAGAAAACTAAGGCCCAGGGAAATGACAATTGCCTCACTCGTCCTTGGGAAGCTGCGCGTCTGCGGCAAAATTCCCAGCTTTGTTCCGGGCTTGCATTTTTACAGCAGTCTTACTGTCTTCCTGCCTCCAGGCTCACCGCCACCGTCCCTTCACACAACCACCAGATTGCCCTTCCTCATACACAAGGCTAATCCCTACCAAGGCTCTGCCCTGACAGAGCCATTACTCTGCATCCATCCCTGGCTCTTCCCCAGCTCAGATCCTCACTAAAGCCCACGCTGCCTGAAAAGTCATTGCCCCTCTGGCAAAATACCACTCCTTGAGGGCTTGGGATTCTGTTGTGGGGGGCTCGTCCACCAATCTGAAAAGAGTGCCAAGAGGGGAGGTGGCATTCATTTCTATATCCCCAGTCCCACCCAGGTGGCAGGGAATGTCTGCTGCATGAACATGGACGGACATCCTAAAGCACTTGCCAGTAGTTGTCTGTGCTCTCTCCTGACGGCAGGCTTGTTCAGTGGGTGCTGCCAGCTCTTGGAAGTGCACTATGAAGAAAACTCCAAGACCTGAGGAATTTCTAGAAACCTGGGTGTGGATGATGGGAAGGGTGGGAATCTCTATGAAATCAGTGGGAGCAAGGAAAGGAAATCTGAACAAGTGATCACCAGTGGAGTGGTGGGAAATGCTGGCACTGGGGCTGAGGCAAGGGTGTGCCCCTATGCCAGGAGCCTCTCAGAGCTGGGGAGCCCAGGGCCTGGGTCAAGGCTGGGCCTGGCACCCCTGGGACTGGAGGCTCTCCACCCAGTGTGGGCACTGTGACACCCTCTGTAAGCCAGCACAAGGCAAGGAGGAATGCCTGAGGGTCCTCTCCAGCACCCACCAAGGAGTCCACGTTCTGGGAGGCTGAGGGGCAGGTGTTCTGACAAGCAGATGCTCCTCCAGAAGCAGCCTCAGGAGTGCAGCAGGGGTGGCCCAGGATGCCCCAGGGGATGAGGGTTCTCACTGAGCCTCTGCTATGTGGCATGAACCAGGAGCCTGGGAAGAACCACTGCAGAAGGCTGGCATGACATTGGGGCAGCGAAGGCCTCTTCTTTGCACACCAACCTAGTTACACATCCTGTCACACTACCCCCAAGAAACCCCCAAGTAAGGTTCTTCAGGACCCATAGGTGGACCACAGGGAAGATCAGTAGACTAGATCCATGATGTCCGTGATGCAGTCTCCAAGGACGATCTTCTCCCACTGTGACAGCTGGGCCACCAAGCCCCGATTTGGACACATGTTGTTTTTGCACTTCTTGAGGTAGGCCCAGGACCTCTGTGAGCACAAGGAGAGAAAGCTGTGTTCAGGATTGGAGTTGGGCCCTTTCCTCCTAGATCAGAGCCAGCTCAGGAGGGACAGGAGGCCCTTGCTCAGGGGCCAGCAACATGGCTCAAGGGCTGGCCACAGCAGCAGCCTGCAGTTAATAAATTAGTTCAAGGAGCTGTAGGAGCTGGCAAGCCCCTCTGCAGCTCTGCTCCTGAATATGCAAACAGGAATCATTCTTATTTCCGATGGCTCCTGTGAAGATTGAGACAACTTATATGAAACCTCCCATAGACAGGGAAGCAGCATACCCATGCCTGGCACATGGTGAACCTCCACAAAGGTTTGCATTGTGCATGAATAAATTAATGGAAAGGGAAAGAGAACTGTGGGCAAATTCTCTGAAGAAGGAATAGTGAAGCTACCTTCTTTCAGGTGCCCAAGCTAAAATGCAGGAAGGATCATTACATGAAGAAAGGTGACAAGTGAGCCTCCATCTATATTGAAGACAGAAGAAAAGGAAAGAGAAAATTGGTGCCTCAGCAAACTAGGAATAGAAAGGCACTACCTCAACATAATAAAGGCCCTATTTGAAAAGTCCAAAGCAAACACATACTCAATGGCGAAAGACTGAAAGCTTGTCCTTTAAGATCTGGAACAAGACAAGGATGCCAGCTTTCACCACTTCTACTCAACACTGTACCAGGAGTCCTAGCCAGAGCAATTAAGCAAAATAAAATAAAAAATAAAAGGCACCCAACTTAGAAAGGAAGAAGTAAAATTATTTGTTTGCAGATGACATGATCTTATATGTAGACCACTTTAAAGATATACTGAAATAACTACTAGAATAATTTAGCTAATTTCCATAAATAAATGGAAAGGCATTCCCATGTAACAGATTAGAATACTGTAAAAATGTCAATACTACACAAACTGACCTATAGATTTAATGCAATCTACCAAATCTCGGCAACATTTTTTGCAGAAACAGAAAAACCCATCCTAAAATTCATATGGATTATCAAGGGACCCTCAAATAGCCAAGATAATCTTGAAAAAAGAACAAAGTTGGAATTCTCACACTTCCTGATTTTTAAGCCTTTGACAAAACTACAGTAATCAAAACTGTGGTTCTGGCCTACAGACAAGACATTTAGACCAATGGCATAGAATAGACAGCCTAAAAATAAACCCTCACATATATGGTCAAACAGTTTCAAAGAGGGTGCCAAAACCATTCAATGGAGAAAGTACAGTCTCTCCAACAAATGGTACTGGGAAAACACAAAACCATTCAATGGAGAAAGTACAGTCTCTCCAACAAATGGTATTGGGAAAACACAAAACCATTCAATGCAGAAAGTACAGTCTCCCCAACAAATGGTATTGGGAAAACACAAAACCATTCAATGCAGAAAGTACAGTCTCTCCAACAAATGGTATTGGGAAAACACAAAACCATTCAATGCAGAAAGTACAGTCTCTCCAACAAATGGTATTGGGAAAACTCAATATTCACATGTAAAAGAATGAAGTTGGACCCTTACTTTACCCCATGATCAAAAATTAACTCAAAATGATTAAAGACCTAAGTGTAAGAGCTAAAACTATAAAATTCTTTTTTAAAAAAGCACAGGAGAAAAGCTTTATGACAATGGATTTGGCAATGATTTCTTGGACATATGACACCAAAAGCACAGGAGATAAATAAAAAATAGATAAAGTGGACTACATCAAAACGAAAAATTTCTATGCATCAAAAGACACAATAGAGTGAAAAGGCAAGCCACAGGATGGGAGAAAACATTTGCAAGTCATATTTCTAAGTTATATCTAGATATATATTCAGCAGTTAATATGAACACTATAAGCAATTCCTAAAGCTTAACAAAAAGCACAAATATTTCTCCAAAGAAGATATACAATGGCCAATAAGCACATGAAAAGATTTGCTCAATATCACTAATCACTAGGGAAATGCAAATCAAAACTACAGTAAGATGCCCCTTCACACCCATTAGGATGGTTACTATCAAAGAAACTGGAAGCATAGTTGAAGATGTGGTGAGATTGGAACCCTCATGCATTGTTAGTAGGAATGTAAAATGGCAAAGCACTGTGAAAAACAGTACGGAGATTCCTCAAAAAATTAAAAATAGAAATACCATATGACCCATCAATTCCACTTCTGTCTACACCCAAAGAACTGAAAGCAGGATCTTGAAGAGATATTTGTACGCCATATTCATAGCAGCATTACATACAATAGCTAAAACATGGAAGCAACCCAAGTGTCCACCAACAAATGAATGGATAAGCAAAATGTGGTATACAGGTGATCCTTGAACAACACAGAACTGAACTGCATGGGCCCACTTATACACAGATGTTTTTCAATAAATACATTGGAAAAATTTTTAGAGATTTGTGACAATTTGAAAAAAATCTTCTAACATTTTATTGTAAGAATACAGTATGTAATACAACATACAAAATATGTGTTAATCAATTGTTTATGTTATTAGTAAGGTTTATTTGACACTTAATTATTAGTAGTTAAGTTTTTGGAGAGTCAAAAGTTACACCTGGATTTCTGACTGTGCAGGGGGTTGGTGTCCCTAACTCCCATGTTATTCAAGGGTCAACTGTATAATACAATGGAATTCTATTCAGCCTTTAAAAAGAAGGAAATTCTGACACATGGATAACCTTGAGGAAATTATTCAAAGTGAAATAAGCCAGTCAACAAAATACTATGTGGTTCCCTTATACAAGGTATCCAGAGTAGTCAAAATCATAGACACAGAAAGTAGAATAGTGGCTGCAGAGCTGGAAGGACAGAGTTATTGTTTAATAGGTATAGAGTTTCGGTTTTTCAAGATGACAAGAGTTATGAGGATAGATGGTAGTAATTAATACCACTGAACTATACTTTTAAGAATGGTTAAGATAGGAAAATTTGTGTGTGTGTATTTTAACACTTAAAAAAGGAAAAACTATAAAGAGCTACCACCTCATACCCATTAGTATGGCTACTATGAAACAACCAGAAAATAACAAGTGTTGGTGAGGATGTGGAGAATTTGGAAACTTATAAACTGTTGATGGAAATGTAAAATGATGAAGCTGCTATGGAAAACAAGTAAAAATAGAATTTTCCTCAAATAAGTAAAAATAGAATTACCATATGATCTAGCAATTCCACTTTGGGTATACATCCAAAAGAACTGAAAGCAGGTGGCCAGCAGGGCTTGTGTTCACAGGTTCAACAGGACAGTTGCAAATAAACAGTTCTTAGTTGGCTAGCACTCCAAGGCTCAGCATGGAAGGAAGCAGACAGAAATGTCCCTCTCTTCCAGTCCTCCTCAGAAGGAGGTAGACATAAATATATACATACATCAAAAGTTGATGCCTGAGGTTGGGCTTCCAATCAGCCTGAATCTAGGTACAGACTTGAGACATCCCTTTGGGATACTGACAGGTCTTGGTACACTCTCAACTACTGGGAGCCACTAAGAGCAAAGTAGGCTACTTAGACAATCAAAAATGTTTGAGAAACAACCAAGAACTAGGTAAGGGTGAACAATAAGTTTAATTTCCTACACCAGGTCACTCCTTCAAGACTAGAAGAGGTGGCTGTTTTATCTAATACATAGAAACCAACAGAGAGAATCAAGGAGAATGAAGAAACAGAGGAATATATTCCAAATGAGAACACAAGACACAATTTCAGAACAACATCTTGATGAAATGGATATTAGTAAACTGATAAAGAGTTCAAAATGATGGCTGTACACAAATAAGTGGAAATATACTCCATGATCATGGGTAGGAAGAATTAACATAGTTAAAATGGCCATACTACCAAAGAAATCCACAGATTCAATGCAATCCCTACCAAAATACCAATGCCATTTTTCACAGAACTAGAGCAAACAATCCTAAAATGTATATGGAACCATAAAGACCCTAAGTAGCCAAAGCCATCCAGAGAAAGAACAAAGTTAGAGGTATCATGCTACCTGGTTTAAAACTATATTACAAAGCTACAGTAAGCAAAACAGTATGATACTGGCACAAAAACAGCACATAGATCAATGGAACAGAATAGTGAACCCAGAAATAAACCCACACTTATATGGTGAATTAATATATGAAAAAGGAGACAAGAATATACAATGGGGAAAAGACAATCTCTTCAATAAATGGTGTTGGGAAAATTGGACAGCTACATGCAAAAGAATGAAACTGGATCACTGTCTTACACCATACACAAAATAAACTTGAAATGGATTAAACACCTAAATATAAGAACTGAAACCATAAAACTCTAGAAAAAAAATATGCAGTAAAATCTTGAACATTAGCATTAGTAATCCTTTTCTGGATATGTCTCCCTAGGCAAGAGAAACAAAAGCAAAAAATAAGTAAGTGGGACTACACCAAACCAAAAAGTGTCTACACAGCAAAGAACACCATCAATAAAATGAAAAGACAACTTACTAAAAGGGAGAATATATTTGCAAATGATTATCTGATAAGGGGTTAATATCCAAAATATGTAAAGAATACATATAACTAAATACCAAAAAAAAAAAAATCCAAATACTCCAATTTAAAAATGGGCAGAGCCAGGAGGGGCTCAAGATGGCAGGGCTCTCAAAACCATACATATTTTTGAAAATACAACAAATACAACTATTCCTAAAAGAGAGACCAGAAGACACAGTACAACAGCCAGGCTACATCTACATCTGTGAGAACTCAGCATCTCACGAAAAGCATAAGATACAAAGCCATGACCTGGTGGGACCCAAGCACTACACCCACCCCAGCTCACCAGTGGGAGGAAAAGAATCAGAGTGGGGAGGGAGTGGAAGCACAGGACTGCTAAATGACCAGCCCTAGTAATCTGCACTGGGAGCACAGACACACATTGCATGGTATACTGGATATTAGAGGAACGGAAAAGTAAAATCTATGATGGAGACTGCAAGCGTGGCTCTACA